AACATGTTAGCTATAAGGCCGTCTTTCGCCTAAAATGGCTCCATGGCTTCGTTTTGGGGGATCCGTCTTTGGCCTGGCCGTTGTGGGGCTCCACCGGCGCCACTTCTCCGAGCACCGAGGTCTTGGTTCCACCGGTCCGGGGCACCCGACGTGACGGGTCGGTGGTCGCGCATGGAGGGGAAGGGAACGAAGGTGCTGCTCGGACAGGAACGGGTCGGAACGAGCTTCGTTTTTTCTGGTTCTTCTTTTTTTGGGTTCGAGGTGGAAACTGACGCTTGGAATGCTTTGGTGCTCTGGAAAAAAGGGACCAGAACCACTGAACCACCGTGTTTGCCGGTGCTGTTGCCGAGAATTCGAGCTTGGAATGCACAATGCACAGTCAGTCGGACATGCCAATCGGTCGGATGCTGGAACATCGGAACATCACATGACATCTAAAACCCCACCAATGGCTTTGGGTCTATTTCCATTCTTCCGAGAGGTGGAAGTGGGAGGTCTCCCTGTCTTGATACACACCCAAAATATTGAAAACCTTCAATTTCCCTAGAACTCTGAAACATCCCCACACAACCCATGGTAACCCGTGGTAACGCCGCGCCCAGGCACGGGACGCGGGGCCACATTCGGCAGCTGCGGAGGTGAGAGGGCGGCTCTTTTGTGCTAGAATCCATCCAACCTACTAGCAAATGGAACCTAAAAGAGCGATGGTCTCCAACCTACTATAGCAAATGGATCCACTCCATTCTACAGGTTTTGAGCCTCACTGCCAGATTTCTAGGCGCCTTTTCAGGCCTTGGCTTGAGAGTGAGATTCTTCTTCCAACCTTCGGAGACCCTGGGCACTCTGAGCCTTCCCTGTGGAGGCACCAAAGAGTTGGAACAACACCCTGGGCCCACTTGGGCCCTTGAAGGCACTAAACAGTGTTTTTTTCCAAGCAACTTCCGCCGGTCGGGCTTGTTTGCAGCTTCCTCAAACACCTGGTTTCTTCCCAAAACGATCCCTTTGCACCCGAAGACTTCCGCCATCTTCTCTCCAACAATGCGTGTCACCCGCCGAGGCTTCCACCGAACGCCCCAGGGTTCAGTACCGCGGTGGTCTAGCAACCTTTAGTGGGAAGTATACCGCGCTGCGGTTGGCCGAATGTCAGGTGGGGTGGTGTGGGACTGCACAGCCCTAGCACCTACCGGTCCAGGCACTCTGCAACCGGCAGCCCCCCGCCTGCCGGGTTGGCCCGAATGTCAGGTGGCCTTCGCTGCCGTGCGCTCAGTGGCCTTGGCTCCGCTCGCAGGCGCGCCTCACGCGGATGCGGACGCGGACGCGGGGGACGATGGGTCCGGCGGACCCGCGGTGGGTGCGCCGGCATCCAAAGAGAGCGGATGGACTCGGTGAGTTCTGCCTTTTCGCTGCCTGAGAAGGTGGTTTAGAGCTTTGGTGACAGATGGATCCAGGTGATTCAAAGCCTAGCAAGTGCCCTTTGGCAGGACATGAGGGAGCTAGGGCTAGGACTTTACTTGTGTTTGTCAGGATGAACTCATTTAAGTACTTGAACCTCACCTAGGGAGGTTCAAGAGACAAAGTTGGGGCCAATGGAAAGCCAATGGAACAGGTGTTGGGCGGGAAATATGTCGCCACATCTCACACTCCTGAAGTCGGTGGTCGCGCATGGTGTTGCAGGCCCCTTGATCCCTGCATCTTGATCAAATCAAGCCAAACTGGGCCTACAGAGGTTTCAAACATAGATTACAACACCCAAGACATGGTTTGGAGGGTCAACTACATCGGATATATCCAGGAAGGCCAGCTTTGGAAACTGGAATCGTTGGTTTTCTAGGTGATATTTGAAACAACTACTTACTTCGACATACGATCATGATACCAGGGCATGCCATTCTGTGAACTTGAGAACATCAACGTGCCATCTTTGGATTGTCCACCCCGCTGATGCGCCTTCTATGCGTAGCCTTTGCCTCTTTGGTAGATGACTTCTGACAGGTCCTTTGGTCTTTTTGGTATGACATCATCCAATGAATCGAATGACTCCAAGATTTTTCGAGACGGGCTCTTACTGAGTCTGTGCTCGCAGCCACGGATGTGTCTTATTCTCCAAGCCTCAGCCGATCATGTCATTCGGGTCGCGCAGGTCAGGCCGGCCACTCTGGTCGAGGCACGGCTTTTCGAAGAAAACGGCTTTTCGCGACTGGCTCAGGAAGGAGGGAACAGATCCAAAGGTCATCTAATGTAGACTCTTGATTGATAAACCCAGTCAATTTGGATGCACTCACAAGCTCTTCATGGGTTGTATGAATCAAGAGTCTACATTAAATGGTGAGGTGTATGAATCAAAGCTCTTCTCTACGAATCGTCACGCCCGTCAGCAGGGTCGCTGTTGAAACGTTCGCACTGTGGAGGGGGATGAGGTCTGACGGACCGACCGGTACGGAGCCCCACGTAGCGAATGACCGGTACTGACAAGTAGAGTCTAAGTGCAAAAAGCAAAGTCTTAGACTTGAGTAGTAGAGTCTAACTGTATTCTAAATAGGTCCTGGTCTCCTGGTCCTAGTGAACATGGTATATAATCACAGATTGGAGCAGTTTTGTGCCAGTCGACTCACTTTTACTCAACTCCGGCTCACCTCCTTGCACCCCATGTGCGCCTGTTTTTCACACCGGCACCGCCGTCTATTCTGTTAAGATGGTCCACGTTCTTGGACCGGGAAGCGCCTCTGACGGAGTCCGCCAGTCTCGTTGGTATGTGAACTTGGTTTCCTGGTGCTATGACCCACATCCATGGGAGTAGGGCGGTTGTGGGTCTATGCCATTCTTGGCATCCCGGTAGTTGCACCTTCGTCCAAACGACGCAGACGACTGGAGGCACGGTCTGAATGGTTCCAACAACAGGTGTCCTCACTGGTCAGCTGTCCCAGGTGTCCTCACTCTGTTTAGTCCGGCGATATGTTGATCTGAACCCTTCGAGCCAGTGTTTGCTGATAGTTTGAAGGGCATGGTCAGTGGAAGGCTTTGAAGGCTTTAGACATGCGATACTTTTTTCAATTTCTTGCTTGGGACTCACACTTGCAATCTTCCCACTCTGAGCCAAAAATCTTGGCACCCTTCTTGAGGCGGCTGTTAAATGGTTCGTTCTTCTATGGGCCTTCATTGATCGAGGCATAGCTGCTGGAATCTTCTTGAATAGCTTTAATGAGGGATGGACATTTGGCGAGACTGAGTCTCGGGGCCCTGCAAGAGCATTGATCTTCGAGTGGACCTGGATGTTCACATCACGTCACATGCCCATGGCTCAAAAATGCAGGGCTGTAGTTTTTGGATGCTTTTAGTAATGCTTCATCATGATCATCATGTTTCCTGTTTTCATGCAGTTTCAGGGGATAATCACAGGGGCGTGTCTTTTAGTCCTGTGCGCACAAACTCCATCGCACGCATAAATCACAATCGCATATCGCTTCGAGACTGTCATGGACGGACGCATTCCCTGGCCATGTGCTCCCAAATCCTGCAGGTCGTGCGAGGGAACGCCAATGAGGAACACACACCGCCCAAACACGGGCCGCTCATTTGGGCTGTACAGGAGAAGGTGGTGTTGTTGACGGATTTTCCGATGCTTTTTTTCGATGCACGCCTTGATTTTTGTTTGTTGCTTGCTTGTTGTTCACCCGTTGCTTCCATGTGGCGGGCGCCTTAGTGCTTGATGTTTATCACCACAAGGCATCAATCAACAGTGGCAAACGATCTGGCTTACTGTTCACCTTCTCTTGGACTGGCCAAAAAGAGGGGCGAACGCACATCGAACTGGCTCGGTGAAGAACGACATCTCTCGGTGACTTGGACACCCATCCTAAAACAGATCAAACAGTCCTGATACTGGTAGCATGACACGAAAAGCATGACACGCCACGAAGGAGTGATTCATGGATCAACGATCGGATCAATCCGAACATGTTTGCAAACCCTCAACCACACACTGTTTGCGTCTAGAGAAGGATCCAGTTGGTATGAAGAGTGGCTCAGGCTCTTGAGTTGGATTATCCCAAATCAGATTCCTCAAACATGGCAAGAACAACACACTTCCAAGAGTTAAACTGGGTCGAACAAAACAAACAAACTCTATCACTCTATGACTCAAATTCTCGCAAACAACCCAACAAAACGACTCCGCGACATGGTTTTTCTGTTGTTCTTACTACGCAACTAGTAGCAAGCTGCTACTAGGTGGAGGCCATCGCTATTAGGTTGGAGGCCATCGCTAACAAGAAGCTACTAGATGCTACTAGTAGCAATTTTGCCGGAGTCTTCAGTGAAATCGATGTGCCGCCCCCGAACGCTCGGCCCAGTGGCTGAGCTTGCCCAGACCGACTCGTTCGACCGACTCCCCCCCCGGGGATCTCATCCTGCCGCGAATGCGGCGGGTTTTTGGGATCTCCCTGGCGGGACTCGAACATCACCAGCCAAGCCCTGTGGGAGGTTTTCATGGACTACTTCTGAGTAAGAGAAGTTCTGTGCCTGTTTTCGACGTTTTTGATGCGCTCAAAAGTCCAGATTCATGAAGACTGAGACTGATGAAGACGTTTCTCTTTGATGCAGCCCTTCTTCCCAAGCTGTTGGGTCCCATTGGCTTTCCACATGGGATTCTGGTGTTGGCCTTCAAAACGGAGGAGCACTGGTGAAAAGGTCGAGCGCGGGGCGCGGGGGTGCTCCCTCGGGAGACAGAACTCTTTGCTTTCTGTGGGATGACCCCTCGGTCGCCACCCGAGGTGTGTGTCTTGTGTGGTGGATAGAAGAACAACCTGTGGTGGGCGTTATGTTTTGGCGTTGAACAACGACGATTTTATGGTGATCACCGATTCACTCAGCAGTTTAGCCAGCACAGAAGAAACTCTCAAGGTCTTTGCCACAGACCTTGGTCATCTATGGTCATATCACATTCAGCAAACTACCAACGTCAGTCCACCATTCTCCATCATCGGAAGCTTCACCATCCTGAGGCGCAAGATGATGCCATGCTGCATCGTCTCCTGGTCGATAGCTCAGATGTTGCGATAAAACCTGTGGAACTCAAGCTGGTGCGAGAGAAAGGGGAGCCTTCAACATTTATATACATTAGTTTTAGTTTTGAGGCGTGTATCCCCACATCAACATTTCGACGTGTTCTCATGGCTCAGCGGGCCTAAAATGGGCCTGTTCCTCAAAGCCCCCAGGATTCATCGGAAGGGTCGGGGGGGCTAACCCAGGACAACACACCCATTGGGATTCCTTGAGCTCGATGGCATACGAACTCCCCATCCGCAAACGAACGACCACGGACTTGTGACCCTGAGAGTTGGACCTGTGGTGCTTTCGATGTTCGATGTTCGAAGTAAAAGACCGAAGGCCGACGCGATGGTGGTTCCATGCCAATCTGTATAGTGTACAGGTGGAAGGTAGGTTGGATCAAAGAACACAATTTGTAGGGGGTATTCCCAGTGGATGATATGCTAGTTGAGGATAGAATTGAGGTCTTCTGGCATGCTATTGATTCTGCGTTTCAACAATGAGATTCCCAATACGCAAACGCCAGGGAACGGATGAATTGCTTGACACCGGGGTGATGGTCTCTAACAGTGTGACAACCCTTTTTCTCTTCTCTTAACCTGCAACCTGCGACCAAGCGAACGTTTGAGCCACGACCCCACCCACGGAATCCGTGCACGGCACACCCGTCCGTTCGTCCCAGCGAGCCAACGAGCCCAGGAGCGAGGAGCAGGCCGACCAGGCTGACGCTCCTTTTTTCGGCTCGCGCGTGGTTGATATTTGATTTGAGCGATCGGAGGCGAGGGATCTGAAAGATCATGTTTTTTTTTTGCTTTAACGTTTATGACTGCCGTGATGGCAGGAAGAGTTCTACGAGAAATGCTGGATGTTCGGGTTGTATTCCGGATTCTTGAATGTCAGAGTTCTTTCCTTCTTGATTCTTCAACTGTCCGGCTGGACTGGCATTTTTGAGTTCCGTTCTGCGCACTTCGGAGCTCAGGTGCAGACGCACCCAAAGTGGCCTGGCTGAATAGATCAGTCCAGTTGGGTTGGCTTGCAGATTACTGCCTCGCGGCAAAGATCAGCAGAAGCAGAGTTTTTATTCAAGCTGTGAAAGCTTGAAGAGCTTTTGGACAGGTTTCCAGTCCTTTCCTTTACCTAAGTTCTGAGGATGCACGTTCCTTTTCCATGCCAAGAACAAACAACACACATTTGTTCAAGCAAAGCCGAGACATCACACTATGACTATGACTCCTTCAGCAGACTTTTGCCAAGAAGCCAAGAATTCCTGCTCCCCTTTCTTGCTTTAATTATTTCTTTATTTGTTTGTTAATTTATTTCTTCTACAAGAATGTCGAAATGGTCTTGACGAGATTGCATCACTTCTTCATATGATTGTGCCGCAATTGTGCCCTTGTGGTTGTGGTCATGCAGCCGGCTAATATCATTTCTTGTCATTTCTGTACAAGGTTGAGCCATTTTTGCAGGCGGATATGTAACAAAGAATCGATGAACAACCTTTTCACTGACTTCGTTCTTGATGTGAACAGCAGACTTGACCACTCTACTTCTGGGAAAGAAAACACCTAGGAAAAAGCATCTTGTGCATGGAAGGTCCAGTAAATAGACTTCGAGTGCCTTGGTGTTCAAGCAAATCCTCATGACCGGCAAATCATCTGTTTGACGGGCACTTGTTGAATCGGGTCCCCGCTGCAAAACATGCCTCCCTAGACTTCCAAGACCAAAAAATGGGAACGACCGGGTTTTTGTAGTGTAAAATCCTTAGTTGATTCGGTGAAGCCTCTTAAATGAATGGTTGGCCAGGAAGCCTAGGGTGCTTGCAGCTGTGTTGACCCTCGTTCCTTTGGCCGCCGCCGCTTCTGACTGTTCTTGCCTTCGAAAGCCAACACTCCAGAGGAAAAGGGGGGGTCCCGGTTGAACTTCTGTACGCCAAAGGAGGGTGTCTAATGAGGGAGACAGACATTTTAAGGTGAACCCCCCAACAGATTCACCAAAAGAGTTCAATCTTCTTCCGAACTTTGAACATGTCACAACTTTGGTACACCAAGAAAAGGCCTTCACTTGTTACTAGTAGCTTTTTGTTACTAGTAGCGATGCACTTGTTACTACTAGCGATGCACTTGTTCCTTTTCACTTTTCCAGGATCTTTTGGGCAGTTCCTTTTCCCCCGCCAGGGCAGATCGGATGGTTTGGTACGCTTCAGCGCTTCGGCCGCACCCGCGACCCGCCCCGGTCCGTGTCCGCTGTCCGGTGGACCGAAGCCAGACACGTTCGGAACGGTGCGGTTTGCTCTGCAGGGACGCGTTTTGCTGTGTGTTTTTGGGCGTCCAAAACGGGAAACATCGACTGGTTGAGGGCAGGGCAGACTCATGTAATTAAGACCTTGGGAATCAGACTCATCCGACCGACAGTTTGGGGATGGGTCAGCCATAGCACCACGGGGGCAAAAATGGGTCTTTGCCACCGAGAGGGGCCCTTTTACAGAGGGTGAAACATGTCAGTGCTGTGTGGGCGGTAGCCTCCAACCTAATAGCTATGGCCTCGAACCTACTGGCGATGGCCTCCAACCTCCAACCTACTGGCGATGGCCTCCAACCTAATAGCAATGGCCGACTCACCAGATACCAGGGTGAAAGGGGGACCCACACCGTGCCACACCCAATTCTTTTCAAGCTTTATGGTCGGCTTGGGCGGCTTGTATGTATTTTTCCGAGGTCTGTTGTTGTCTGTGTCATGCGGAACCTGTCACGTTGTGCCACCTGACATGATCTGACATGTTTGCTTGTTTCAGGGGCGGACGCCTGGCATACTCCCGATTGTCAGCCCGGCATTGAATTGACGTATATTTTCAATGATAGAAAAGGTCCATGACACTTCTGTAGATAGATGACATGTTTAGAGGTCAACACATTGTGGACTCCTGCCAGGAGTCACTACTGGTAGAATTTCTTTCCATTCCTGTCTGTAGTAATCCAGTTCTTGGTATCAAGACTTGGCTTGGTGGAACAAACCAGATGGGTTTGGCAGAAGTGTTCTCTGGGTCATTGAGGTCTCAGTTTGCCGGCAGATGTCTATTCTTCCGAGAGCGAATACCTGAACTCAACTTCAATCGAAACACCAGACCTCGGTTTCCATCTCTTCCAAACATCAGGCCAGTACAGATGATTCTTGATCATCACACACCAGCATCTACTGGGCATAGATACTATACACTATAGATGTCAAAGTTGATTTTCCATTTCCATCATCAAATGCCAGCGTTTTTCAGAGTATGCTTGTTCTTTTCCCCCAACAGCTTTACCGTGGGCAAAACCAACGCATTCGTGGGATCCGAAACAGGGTCACCCTGCAAGCCGGGTGTCTTCGGACCTGGCTCCGAAACCCAGGTCTTGGGCAGACCAGTCCAAAAGGAGGACCGGGGCGCCCGGGTCCGGTCCAACTTCCGGATCCGGCGTGTCCGACCGGCTTCATACACTCCGGGCCTCCGGGTTGATGAGAAGCGAAGTGATTCGCACGGATGGTTTTGGTGCCGGTCAGCTGCGAAGTGTAGGACCGTTTTGGTGAAAAAGAGTAGGAAGTAAGACTTGTAGGACTACTTGTAGGACTAGGAAGTCTTTCACCAAGTTCAGGACTACAGCAGGACTTGTAGGACTACTTGTAGTCTTAGACTTGTTCCGACAAGATATATTTTTTGGTATGTAGACTTGTAGGACTTGTGGTGCTTGTGGTACTTGCCGAGTGTTTTTCTTTTTCTTTTTTTTCCAGACTCATGCATCACCTGCATTCACCTGCGACAGTTCTGCGCCATGAGGGAGTTCAGCAACAGTTGGAACATGAATGGAGGGAATCCTCCATGACCAGTGTCAGAGCGGCCAATGGTTAAAGCAAGTGTTGTTTTCCGGCCAAGCTAGGAATGGAGATGGAACACATACGAATATGTGCCGCCAACACGGAACCATACTGCTACCAAGCGATGTCATGTCCTTTTTGAGAAAAGGACTCTAAAAACTGGGATTTCGAAGACATGTGTTGACCGAATTTTGGTTGTTGGCCGAAGCCTTGCTTGCTTGCTTGCCTGCTTCGGGCAGGCTATCCTGTAGATGACAAGCCAGGCACACTGGGAGCCAAGTGGTTACGGTGTGCATTCAAGGTAATGTGTTCATTGAGCCCGTTGATCAGTGAGAGTGTTTTTCTATTTTTTTTAAAGCCACTGATGCCCCATAAATTTGATTCTTTACTTCTATCATCTTCTATCCTTGCGAAGCCTGGTCCATTTCGTGTGATTTCATGTGATTTCGGTGTTTTCTGACATGGTGACTTGCAAGTTTCACGCTGGCAGACTGACTCCATGGTCGACGAAGACCATCCACCATCCACCATCAGACCATCTCTCCATCGACCGGTCCCGTTCCTGGTTGGAGTCGACCAGAATGTTCTCCAGTTCCTTCCTCTCGGGTGAGGACGAGGTGAGCGAGGTGCGCGAGGTGAGGTATTTGTGACGTTCGTAGTGTCCTTGTTACTAGCGATGGTCTCCAACCTACTTGTGATGGCCTCCACCCAGTAGCAGTTTTGGTTACTTAGTAGCTTCTTGTATGGTATTGGTGCTGGTATTTTCCATTTTTTGCCAGGTCCTCTTGGCAACATTGGATATCCAGTGGCCTACCGGCGCAGCACTTCTCATTCTCAGTTGGAGAACCCCAGACCATATGCAAAGCTGCGAACGCTTGGTGGTGTGAGATGTATGTTGCCGGAGATGTTGGATCATGTTGCATCATGTTCTTGTTCTTTCATATTCTCCGGCATGTTGAATGGACAAGGTCCTGAAAAAAACACGACCAACGCGCAAGACGCACTTGGTCTTAGCGTCATTCTATGACAAGTTTGACCAGTGATGTTTCTGGGTAATACATGAGGCTGAGGCTGCACGGGATGACGAGGGCGCAGTAGTCGTCAGCAAAAAAAGCCACTTGGTCTAAGCTGCGGAACCATTCTTGAACCCGGAAATCACCTCTTTCAACCATGGGTCAAAAAGGAGAGCTTGGGTCCAATATCACCAGGTTTCCGAGTAAACAAGAATCACGGGGTCCCCCGGGGTTACCCCAAAAATAGGTCTAGCTTCAAACATCATCCCTGTGAATTTGAGGTAGGATCTCATTCTGTTGAGCCAGGTTGTCACACTATGTTGTGTCTGCCGCCGTTTGGCTCCTAGGGCCCTTGAGCTATACCGTGCTCGCTTTCGCAGTGAAAAGAGCGTGTGGACAGTACGATTCCGGTTGCTACCGACATTGGTAGCGGAGCAGGTGACGGCCTGACTCCGGCACGTACTGATCCAGGTCATTGGAATCGTAGAACATCAAGCCTGAGCTTGCATTCCTTGCGTGCTTTCGCTTGCCTCCTCTGATCCCGTTGGGGACAGAGCCCGGAATAGATTGCTCGCCCGAGCAATCTCCGTCGGAATCGTCGAACATGTCCATTGCTGGACTCAAGTTCCATTCGGGTAGCACTGGTGATAAAATAGGCAACCCCCTGGAAACCAAGAGTGGGTCTTACATCTATTGGGGAGATCCTGCATCATTTCATGATTGGAAATTTCGAACCGAACTCCGCATCAAGCTGTACGACCAAGCCCAAACGCAACCAGCAAAGAAGCAGGATCCCGTGACTGGACCTGCCGACGAAGGGGAGCCTTGGCCACCAGAGTCAGACGAAGGATTCGCATTCCCTTCGCCTGGACACTATCCCGAGGAGTTTGAGCCCGAGCCGCGTGAGACTGCCGGTACTCCCAAGTCGAAGGTTGATGCAACATCACCGAAGGCTTCGTCCGTTAAGTCAGACAAGTCGAGCATCATCGATCGCAGTGTCCTAGTGAACAAGATCGTAGAAGGTTTGAGAGGTGATGCATTTTTGCTTGCCAGAGACTTAGGTCTAGAGACACTTGCACGTCCAGGGGGACTGGAGCGTCTCATCGAGGTGATACGTAACCATGTGTTTCCTCGAGCCTTGGAGGAGAGTAAGGAGCTTTTTCGCGCAGGACAGAAGCATGGAGGACCACTGTCGAGACAGCCTACAGAAAGCATGTTGTCGTACACTCAGCGTCGACGACGCTGGTGGACCTTGTTGGTTGAGCTTGACCCCACAATGATGATCTCAGAAGCTTTCCGCACGGAGCTGTTGTTGGAGATGTCAGGTATCTCCAGGCAGGAGATCCTTGTGGTGAAGGCTTGCCGCAAGAACGATGACTTCGAAGGTACCGCACGAGTCCTGGTTGACAACTACAGTGGAATCCATCTTCGTGAAGGGTCCCGATCCTGGACAGGACGGGGAACTCAGCCTCAGGTAGGCAAAGGAAAGGGGTACCAGAAGGGGTACCAAGGAAAAGGTAAAAGTAGCCAATACCCTCGTGCTGGTTACAATGCCATCTATCCCGATTGGGAAGACAATTTCGAATGGAGAGATGAGGACTTGCAGGAGCATCATCATGAAGAAGATTCTTTCGTAGGCATGCTAGGAGGGGTTGAAGAGCCTGAAGAACATGAACATGCTAGCCGTGCCGAATACGAAGAGTTTGAGTATCATGATGATGTTGATGAATATGAAGCAATTGCCTTGAATGCAGTAGTTGATTGCGAAGATGCCGAAGAACGTTCCTCAGGTGATGCTATCCAATTGCAGCTTGCCGCATTCGTCGCTTTCGGGAAGGCAAAAGGCAAAGGCAAGGATAAATTCAAGGGGAAAGGTAAAGGCAAAGGTAAGATAGTGAAGTCTCACCTTAGCATCGAGCAACGTCGACAGAAACTGTCCGAGATCAAGGCGAAATCCAAGTGTCTTCGTTGTGGTGGTTTAGGCCACTGGGCCGGAGACCCCCAATGTAAGATGCCCAATGCCCCGAAGACTGGTTCGGCCCCGAAACCTGCTGCACACATTGCCCACATGAGTGATTCATCCGAGGACGAAGGGATTTTTCTAGGTGCGGCGTCTCCAACCGACAGCGCTGCTCACATGGCCGTGAAGGCCAGCTCAGGAGTTCGTCCGGAGGCACCAGTGAGTCCCAACGACCTCGTAAGGCCTGAAGGGAGCGATAGGAAGTTCTTAGCTGGACAGTTCAGGGGGGAAGACATTTTGGCAGATCCTTCATGAACATCCTGACTACCACCAATGGGCCATCAAGAATGGCAAGAGTCCAATCGCTTCGGCTTTCGTCACGTGGGTTGATCAGCATTTTGAATATAGGGGAGCTTCAGTTTTCAGGAAGGTTGGTGGTGCTTCTTCTTCATCGTCATTGCAGCCTATCCCAAAAGGGTCCTCAAGGGAGAAACCACCATATCCACCAAAAGAGAAATGCAAGAATTGTTCCGAGTTCACCAAACAAGGGAGCACAGCATACACCATCAAGAAGACATGTCTTGTCTGTGGGAACTCCACCACCGAGCGTAGAGAGCAAGCCCCGAAGTTTGCATATGACGATTGCCCGCACTCGGACACCGATTTTCGAGGTTCTTCCAGGTCTGTTCACCGTGTGTTTTGCAAGCTTTGTTGTTCGTTTTTGGATGAGACTCCGATGGAGCTCCAAAAGACTAGGAAGGCAGCCTCTGAGAAAGTCGTCAACGCACCGCTCGATAGGATCCCAATGATTGAACGTTTGGTTGAAGAGGAACCCGAAGAAGGACACACCCCCGAGATGCTAGAGAAGATTTTGACTGAATTTGCCGCCCAAGTCGCGTTGGCAGCCGAAACCGAGGCAGTGACTTCGATCAAGCTGCACGAGCTCCTCCACCAGTCCATCGAAGAGAGTAAAGGAGACTCGTTCACCATGATTGATTACACCGAAGATCCAGACCCCTTTGCAGGGATCGGCATTTGTTTTCATGGGGAGGAACCTGCTCGCATGACGGACGGTCTGGTGCACATCTTTCACGAATTTAGAGACATGTACAACCCAGACGACAGAAACATCTACATCGTGCTCGACGAGGGATGTAATTCCACCTGCCATTCGAAGCACTGGGGAGACGTTGTTGAGGCCAAGTTGAAGAAGCTAGGATACGACTTCCCTTTTTCGACCACGACATCGAAGAATTTTGCCGGTTTAGGTGAAAATGGGACCACCACAGAGGGATCCCGCACGTTGCCATTTTCGTTGCATTTCGAGACAGGCAAACCCGTGCATGGTGTCCTTGAGTCCCACCAGCTTTCGAAAGGTCGTTCTCCGCTGCTTTTGTCTCTTCATGCACAAACGCATTTAGGATTGGTGAAAGATCTCAAGAATGGCTTTGTCAGCATAGATGGTAACCATCTCAAGGTATACCGATGTGTTCACACAGGTCTCATGATGTTGGCAGTCACCCCACAACAGTTGATCCAGAATTTCCAACAAAGCTCAGAACCCCAAGTGATCCCTAAGTGCCACAGACGTTTTCGCACTGCGTATCCCGCGATGGAACGCGGATGGAATGGCGAGAGAGGTTTTCAGGCCAATTCTGCGACCGAAGTCAGCAAGGCATTGGACACCATGGTATCGAGCCTACAGCCGCGAGAGTTCTTGATCATTACTGGTGGCGAGAGATTTCCGGATCGCATCAACTTTCGAAGCAATTCGTGCCCGATCTTGGAGGTGAACGCGAAGGATTTTTATGATCCGGAACAGAACGTGAGCCTGAGAGGCCACGTAGGCCGCCATCCTGAGATTGTTCAAGGACTTCTTCGAGGCAAGAGATCGCTGGACACGATTCTTCGAAAGGTCGACAGGTTTTGTGATGAGGAGGACCGTGGTGTGATCGACTTGAAGTGCAAGAGCGGAAGGCATCGGAGCGTTGGTGGTTCGATCATCATATACAGACACTTGAAGGCCAAAGGCATTTCTTGCAAGATCATCCACCAGCACAGTCCAGAGTGGGCCCGGAGGCAGGTGCAGTTTGTGTGGTCCAGGCCATCCGGAAGCCGCTTCAACTCCAATTGTCTTGACCCCGAACCAGACTACAAGCTTTGGATCGGTCCCTCCAGCTCCTGTTGCAACAGCCACTTCATCAGATAAGGGTGCACCTTGGAGACTTCCGCCGAAGGCCATGCCTCCTACATTGGAACCCAAGCAGAAATCCGGCCCAAAGTCGACAGCAGCCCCAGCTTCAGCACGTCCTGTGCCGGAATTTGACGATGAGAGTGAGGATGAAGACGTCAGAGTTGTTGAGTCTGTTGAGGAAGACGTGAAGCCAGAAGAAGAAGAAGAAGAAATGCCCACAGATGATCCCCCAGCTGGCAGTTCGAACGAGAACCGTGAAATCCTGCATGCTCTACGACAGTTGACTGACGTTGTATCGACCCTTGCAGGCCGCAGCACAAGATCGCGAAGCCCATTGAGGAGGAAGAGAACTTCAGATGTGCCTGAGCCTAGGCCAAGGTCCAAAAGGGGTAGATCGAGATCAAGAAGTCCCCCAAGTACTAGGGTGAAGAGCGCAGCTGCTCCGAAGAAGCCAGAGAGCCCATCGACTTCACCAGTGATTTTGAGCCCTCATACGCCTGATCATCCTCCACCTCCTGGCCCGCCACCGAGGCTTTTGAACAAGACGAGATATGATGAGTCTCAACGCGTTGATTTGGAAGATGAGCTGTGGCCACTCTTGACAGAAGATGGTGAACCGAAGGTTGAGCAGGTAGACCCAGACAGCTTCTTCACGCCCTAGCTGGCGCGG